AAGGGAAGGGAAGGGAAGGGAAGGGAAGGGAAGGGAAGGGAAGGGAAGTCAGCACATAGCATACCTGGTTGCCTGAACCATCTTTTTCACAAAACAAGGGCCCCATGAAGGGCATGACACTGTAAATGCACTAGGACAGGACAAACTCATACCAGAATCCCAGAAGGAGAAGAGCATTTGCACTTGCACTGTTCACCTTGTTGTTGTTGCCTGAGAGATTACTGTAGTTTCTTGACTCAGATCTTATGTTCCTTCATAATAAATTTTTTCAAAGAGATATAGCTTTTTCCTGGTTGCCTTTTTGCCCTCTTTTTTTGTAATCCCTGCTTGGCAGCTGAAGTGGTCTAACATTTTATGTAACTGGTAGCAGAAATTATTGCCAAGGAGTGAATTGTTTTTAGAGAACATCCCTCCCCTTGGGTTAAATATAGGTTGCAGCATTCCAGTATAATGAAAAGATCGGAAAACATTTACACACTAGAGTATTTTCTGCTTTGTACTAACAGAGTAAGGCATTCACAATTGTCAATATTATACCTGCAAAGACAAGTTTAGTCAGCCTCCATCTTTACTGTATTTCATCCATACACTAAAATGTTTCCTATTTAAACCAAATTCTCTAGCCCTTGTGTTTTATTACCTTGTGATGTGCTGTTGGCTACAGCATACTGGTTTGTTATCTTACCGTGTGCATTGTGGCACTTGCATTAGTTTTGTACTGCAAAATTGCATAGGATGCTGGACCAAGAATGTCTAATCCTTTTGATTACAAAATATGAAAGCAAATCTGGAGAGGTTCTACTGCTACAAAAATTAGATCTGTATTGTGTTGCTGTCACCAAAGATATTTGATTTCAGACACATTTACCGTTGCCATAAACTCTGCTTTGTAACAGAAATCATCTGTACCACTATGATTAAAATCTTCAAGAAAAGGGTTAAAATTCAAACTGGAAAATAAAGCCTGAGAAACACTTAGCCTTGCTAATGCAAATACCATCTCCATATCTTTTCTACATATACACATGTATGCACATGCATTCCCAATGTTGCATATACATTTACAAGCTCGCACATTCACCAGCTCAGACACACATTCACAGGCGCTCTCACACAGAGAATGTGTTCTGCAGTATAGCTGGTACACAGGGTATTTTTGAAGACAGAACAAGATGACTGTAAATTGACACTTCCACCCACTAATGAAAAAAAGCCAAGAAAACCTCAGCAGAGAATGAGTTTTATAATTAATGCTGAACAATTTTCATTGACAAAGCAAAAAGAAGCAAGTGGATGGCTGATTTAAATGTTGAATGATTAATGCACAGAGAGGCGGCTGAGGAAAAAGACAAATTCAGGAGCAACTATGGAAATTTATGTATGAGAGAGTCAGCACCATATTCTGATCTCAGTTACACAGTCGTAAATCTGTTATCTTAATGGAAGTATTCAGCTTTTATATTTGCATAGCATAAGTGAAAATAGAATTTAACCCAGAATGCGTTTTCGATTGTGCATTTGCATGACTGAAAGGGGAGAGATGTGTATGTTTGCATGTGATAAACTGCAAATACATGAGACTTTTTGTATCTCTTGGTAAGAAATGTAGAGAATGAATATGTGTGTGATTGCGTACGTGTGTGCCAGTTGTGGGGCTGTCTGACAGTGTGTGGGAGGGTGAGAACGTGTTTGTTCCTAGACTCCGTGGTTGAGTGAAAATGGCTCCTGGAAATGCCGTTTCAGATTAGAGAGCGACGGCTGGAGAGGTGGATATTTCATTATCTTCTTTGTGTGGTGTTTTGGAGTTGGTAATGTGAAAGCAGAGCTATATATAATCCGGTCACACATGTGGTGTCCTCGAGATTTATAGTGCCTGCTAATGCCAGAATCTTTGGGGTGTTTCACTGTGCTAAGCAAAATGCCTCAAAGACCAAGGCAATGCAGACCCTACCTGACTTTTCTCATGTACCAAGAAAGAAGAAATTCTCCTTCCGTCGAGATGTCCAGTTTTATTCCTAAATTTGTGTGCAATGCCAATTACAATGTAGAGTGATGCTGTCTCTTGTCCTTGTGAACTGGGGCCATTGCCCACCTGCCTTGGGTGTGTGTGTGCTGGGAGAGAGGGTGTAGAGGTCACAGGCAGTAGTTTGCTGTGTGCAAGCATCTGAGATGCACAGGCTATATTTTTAGCTGCTCCAGATTCTCTCCTGGCTGGGATATGATGCTGGGGAGTTTATTGCCGTAAGGATGTGCCTAGAATACCAGGCAGCCTCAGAAATTTACTGTGCCGCAGAGCCCTGACTCAGTGCTGCTCTGTGACTTTCCTGTGTTGCTTCTGCACTGGAAAGAGAAGAAATGGTTCCTTGTGTTCCCGGCTACTGCTGGCACTAGAGGGACAGCTGCTGTGATTTTCTGAGAAGCCCTGTCGCAGGGAATGACAGCAGCTCTGGGTCTGGCTAAACTGCAGTTTGCTTGCTGAAGCTGCTCTCAGATTTCTTCACATATATTACTCTACATTTTTGTCTGAACAGTAGGAATAATCACATTCTGCCTTTGATTTGTGAATTTCCCAAACATGTCTGTAGTGTCTCTGCAAGTAGGGTTTTCTTTGCAGCTGTGCACACTAAATGCTTCCAAAATATTAGGGACATTTCACAGGTAGTTTCTCTATAGGGCATTTCAGGGGAGAATGGGGAGACATGGCCATGCGTGGATTTCTGTACACCTGGCTGTGAGGGAGGGGGACAGCCAGGCAGTGGGGTGAGAATCTGGTAGGGATGCTCCCCGTGGTGAATCCTGTAGGAAATTAAATTACACTCATGGTCCTTTTGACACACTGGTGAAGATGCACCTGCAGGTTTGAAATTATGGTTTCAACCTCAAAACCCTTTTTAATTGTGAAATCCGGTACATTTACCAAGTTAAATTATATATATGAAAGATCAGCAACTGACTTCTTGAAAATCTAAATTTTGAGAAGCCCAGCTTGTCCCTTACAAGTCCAGTGAAACCACATAAATGCTTGATGAAGAAAATTTATTTGTACCATCAGATATTTTAGAAACAAATATGAAATACCCCGAAGAGCCTGGGCAGGATACCCCTGAGTCTGTCTGCTTGAGAAACACGGTAAGACCCCGTGTATTCTCTTGGGGTTTGGCTGCATTATATTCCGCAAGAAGTGGGCTTTCCTCCATTTTCCAACCTAAACGATTCTACAAATCTATGATCGCTGCCCGAAGGAGAGTGGAAATAAGGAGCTGACACCCGTCTGCTCTTGCTGGATCCCGAGCTCTGCTGGAGGCTCCCTGCTGCCCTCTTGTTGCTGGAAATGACACTGGAAACAGGCGCAGTATTTTGTGATGGGAGCTTGACTAATATCCTCACATTTGGGGGGAAATCGTAGACCTCACATAGGAATGTCTGTCTCATTGCTGTGGCATCCGGAATAACAAATACGGCAATCGCAGCTATAGAGCCCAGCGCTCGTCTGAACTGCCGCATACTCGGAAGCACAAACACGACTGAGGGGCAAGCTCAAGAGAGGATTGTAGGCAGAGGCGATATATCTTTTCAATTTCTTAGTCTTGCAAAATACAGATGAGCTTTCAGCCGTACAAGCTTTCCCATCATGCTTGCTTTTCCCACATGCTTATTTTTCTGATGTGCTTAGGGCATCGCAACTGCTGCTTTAGTAAATGATAGAGACTGAGACTAAAGTGACTGAGTGTTTTCAAAGCTGAATGCCACACACACAAGGCTTGAAGCAGCTCTGTATGGCTACCAGAGATTCTATATTTTAATTTTGTATTATTAGTTATTTTCTTTCCTTAGATCACTAGTACTCTGACATTGTTGTCATTCACATTGCATTCATGAAGTTTATTTGAAATAATTTTTGTGGCTTGCAGCTCAGTTCCTGCTTGGTTTGCTGGTTGATTTCTCTTCTGAAAAAAAAAAAATCAAATTTTATTCTAAATTGCTCCTTGTTTGCAAAGACCAGTGGCTATGAATGGGATTCAGAGAACGAACTCTACTCTGTCCAGTCATGAATGGTAGCCAGGTCAGGGCTGAGCTGCATTGGCAGGAGGCAGTGATGTGGGAAGGTTGCCCTGCCATTATCTATTCTGTAGACAAGCAGCAGATTTAATTCTCAGAGGATCTCAAGCCTATAATAAAATCTCAATGGGAACAAAAAACCCTGACCCAGAAGGCAGTGGTATGTTCTACTTGTCCTCCTTAGTTGTGGGTGTAAGTGTGGCTGTGGATCAAGAGAGCTGTGTGACAATTTTGTGGAGCCTGTGTATCAGAAGAAACCCATCCCCCAGTGTTCTGCTGGAGTCACTGTGAGGTATGTATTTATACTGCTAGTGAAAAACAGAAGGAAAAATGAGAGTGTCTCTAACACATGTAATCTGCAGAAAAATACACATTTGCATGTTGATTTTAAGCAAGGAATCTTTGCTGCTAAGAGAATATTGTGTGCTGTTTTCCATGTTCCGTGGACATGTACTGAAAACCTGGCATTTTTCTCGAGTTGGCACTGCCGGATGACCTCATACACCTATTTGTCATCTCAGCAGTTTCAGCTTCACTGTTCTTCCTTAGATTCATTAAGAAAATATTTAGCATCCAAAGAAAGGAAGCACCCTGTGGCCTGCTGTGCTCCCTACAGCCAGGCCAATAAAAACAGAGCCCTAGAGCACTTTCTGAGGGTGCAAGGGTGACTCCAGGGCACTTCTGTTCCCTTGGAAACAGGAGAAATGGGTCACATCTACAAAAAGTGACCCAGCCTTAGTTGTGATGACCTTCTGCATTTGAGGATGTTTAATAGGATCTTTGCAAGGTGATTCACTTTTAAAAAATCTTGTTTTGTAATAAATCATGGGTTTTAGATTGGGAGGCTGAGATGAAAATCTGCTTTCCCTTCAGTTTGGGGTTCACTGAGGTTTTCCCCTACAAGTCTCTTTTTAGTCATATGTGCACTGTATTATCAGAAAGGCTGCCGGGGACAGCTGAACCTTTTTGTTCTAATGTAGTATGTGCCTGATTTTTCATTGAAGAAAACAAAATGGAAGCTATTATCTGAAGACAGCTTTCATCGTAGCAGCGAGGCAGGGAGCAGCTCAAGTATAATAAGACAAAATGTGAGACAAATGTTGCCTCCTCTGAGCCAGCCTCTGACCTCGACAGTGAGCGCCTTCCGCTAAGCTGGCTGTTTACAGCCCCCGCTCCGGCATCCATCTTGAGGTTTGTGGGATGTTGTTTTTGTTCCCATCCCTCCCTCTGATCGGGCACAAGCAACATATATTCCTCTGCCTTCAACCCCGACCCTGAGGTATGCTGACATCTTGATTTCATCCCCTCCTCCACCTCTCGCAGCCCAGCGAGTAAGCTGGGAGAGCAATTTACTGAGAATCAGCAGGCCTGGAGCCAGGGTGTCACCCTGCTGCCGTGGGGGGAAGGCTACATTTGGGAAGTGAGATTTTTCCTGTATTACCGAGGCTTGGGTGTGCAGCACCATCTCCACTTGGCCCTGCAAAGCAGAATAACTCAGTAGCATGAGGTTGCTTTCTTTTTCTCCCCTCTGCTTCCCCTCCCAGGAAAAAGCCACCAAGCACAACAGCAGGAGCTGATTTAGGCAACGGGTGTTCGGTCCCTTCAGCAAATGGGGCTGGGAGGAGTGATGGAGGAGGGGTTGCAGACCGTGCTGCTGACCTGCTGAATTATGACTTTAATGCAGTCACTTTAATAACTTGCTGTAGCTCCAACCACCAGATGCAATTTATGGCAAAGCAGGCGCCCAGGCATTTTTCTTTCTATGAAGACTAAGCAGATCTCTGATTACCACCCCCTCCCCCCAAACCATTACCTTCCCCCGCTTGCTCTGCTAATGGAAAAATGTTATGTGTCTATGTGCTTTTTTTCCCCAAGCCCTGTTTTCAGGAAATGGTGGAGAATGAGAAACTAACACAAGCGTGCACACATGCTTTTGCAGGAAAGATTGCTTTAACTCCATTCTTTAACCACGCGAAATTCCTCCTGCTAGCAGAATTGCCAGTTCTTTTTCTGAAACCTCAGCCAGATGCAAAGCAAATTCCGAGGTTGATTTGTAGGGAAAAAGAAAGACCCCTCCCTCCATCTGACCAAAATCATCTGAAGTTTGAGTGATTTCACTGCACAATACAAAGCCTGTAGCCCTTTAGATCTCCCTTAAGAAGAAAGCTTAAATACAAGCCACAAACAAACAAAAAAGATTAACCTGGGAATCATGAATAGGCAAACTGAACTCCAGATTTAATTTGGTAATTAATGTTTGTATACAATAGGTGGGTACATTGAGAAAACAATGTACAGATAGGCAGCAGATTCCCTGCTAGTTCTCCTATTTTAAAGACCCATTCATTTTCCATCTAAGGAATGAAATCTTCCTCCCACTCTCTTCTACTCTCTCTTATTCTGTGATTTACATGATCATTTTCTACATGTATTATGAATTACTGTTTATCTTAGTTCAGCCTGCAAAGCAATTTCCTAAATAAATTTCAATGGATCAATAAATTCAGATTCTGTTTTCTCTTCTAAATTGAGGGAAAGAAAAATAGTAAGATAAAGTAAATGTTTTCTTTTTAGCTAAATGGAACAAAAATCTGAATTAAACACATATGCCTATTTCTGAATTCTTAGGGCTTACACAGAAGCCCTGTGATTCAACTGTTTTGTATCTTACTTTTGATTTTCCTTTCCATTCCTGAAAAAATAATGTGTACTTGGAACTGCAACCCTGAAAAATTGTGTGTACTTCTTTGAACCCCACTGAAAGAGTGTCCATACAAGGACTAGCAGATAAGTCCTTTGTGACTGTTAAATATTTATCAGCAAGGCGAATTCCTCCTAGGTTACAGCAAGTACAGTTTGGAATGACCTGTCTCCACGCTTTCAAAAATGAGCAGCAGATTCCTGCAAAACATCCATCTCCTCATTCAGCTAGGATAATGTTTTCCTCTCAAGCTTTGAGATAGCTTGATTAATATGTAGCATATACGGCAAATTTCTTAGGGAAAAAAAGTAGCAACATATGGGAGCATTCAAGTTCCAGAAAGAAGAGTATAAATTGGACGTTTCCATATGGGTTTGGTCTGATGTGTCTGTCTATCTGTGTTTACAGTGACCTGCCCTGATATTACCAAGACTGCATTACTGTCTCCAGTACTGCAAGATGCATCTGCGAGCACACACTCAGCCACACAGGTATTTCTTTTAGGTGTGATGAGTTGTCTTTGAGCAACTGAATTTATCTCTGCTTACTACAGAGGCAGCCGAAACCAGATCCCAACTTTCTGAAGGTTAGAGTTAGGTGGAATGAATCTTTGCTCAAGCATTCAACCACAGCGCCTTGGCTTGTGCCGTTAGCTTCCTGAATTCCCAGATGGCTTCCCACCACAGCTTAGCCAGGCCTGGAACTGCTTATTTTCTCAGAAGGGATGAGGTGAAATGCAGTTAGTACAGCAAAGCCAATGGCATTTCAAAATTATATGTAAAAGTATGTATTTGTAGTCTTGTTTTTCAAATGTTGTCGTAAATATGTTTAATTCTTAACAGGCTCAAAGTACCGTCTCCAGTTGTGATGATTTTTTTAAATCGTGTTCAAATGTTTATCAGTCCATAAGGAAAACCGCCCGTGCAGTGGTCAGTAAGTCAGTGTACGTGCACAGAATGAAAGCAGACCTTTCGTGCGCCCTCGCTGCCGCCGGGGCCGAGCCCTGCCCAGTGCTGCTCCCGGGCGGGCACGGCGCGCTCGAGGCCGCGGAGAGCCGGGCCGGGCTGGCTGCGTGCTGCCCATCTGCCCCGGGCGGCTCGGCAAGGGCTGAGGCAGAGGCGAGAGATTCGGAGGGCAGCCATGGAGTTGTGAGGAGGTTATTAATGGCGGTGCGTGTGACTGCAGGTACTTGGTGACACTGGAGCTCATTCTGCAGCCTCCTCTGATTCTGCTGTGTTTTTCTTTTTTGAACCTGGCCTTTGATTAAAATGCCTCGCTTCCAGCTCACATTGCCTTTTAAATGGCTCTGTAAAGCCCTCTCGCGGTTCCCAGCTCACATCAGAAGCAGGGCTGGAAGTGTTTCTCTGCAGAATAAACATACGGGCTGTAAATCCTGTGATTCAGAAGATCGCCTGCAGTATTCCTCTCCGCTGTTGCCATAGGTAACCGGGCTCTGCAAAACACCATTTACCCTGGAATGCAAGGAGACTCGGAGCTCAGCAAGGGCACTCCGGTTAACCCTTTCCTAGCAGGAAAAAAAAAAATTCCCTCTGGTGATCCCAGCCGAAACTCCTCTCTCATATGTGTAAGTTCACACACAATAAACCCGCATCGTGCACTTTGAGGCAAATTTCCCTCGCAGCGCGGCCCCAGGCGTGTGCACAAACTGCGGGTTTCTTCTCTTCCCCATGAGCAGCGGCAGGCAGCCGCTGGCAGGGCGCTTGGGGACTGCTGACTCACGGGGCTGTGAGAGCACAGCCTCGGCCGGGAGCCCGCGGGACGCCTCAGACTGGCACCACATGAAGGAACTGAGAGGCAACTGAATAAGGCTGGCCCGGTCTGCAGTACAAATCCAAGCTTTGTGGGCTCGTACTTGTCAACTTATTTAAGACAGGACCTTAGAAAGGAAGACTTTGAGCTCATACTCACCACAGTATGTGGGGGTTTTTGGTAGCTAGCAGGGGATCCCTAAGGTTTACAAGGTTTTGCCAATGCCATCTAATGGAGACTTATCAAGTCAGACAATGAGTGCAAGTTTAACACTTCTTTTCTGCCTCACACTTCTTTGCAGTCCAGGCACTTTAAAAGCATCTCCTCATGGTCTTCTACTCCATTGCTTCAGACACTGAATGTGGACAATCAATGGTTATCTGTAGTTTAGGAGAACAGGGGCCGAAAGTGGCCCCCACTTTTTTCCTCCTCTAATTCTGACCTACCTGTGGGCTAATGTGGATTCCAGCAGAACAGGAGCTGAAGTGAGGTACTATGTCTGAACAGTGGTTTTTTGCCACAGCCTTAGCAGCAGTGCTGCTCAGAGAGCAAGTACTCTGCCTTTGCCCTTTTTTCCCACATGAAGCTGAGGAAAAGTAAATTCATAGCCCTGTGTTCAAGCAGGGGTTAATTTATACTGCAGAGAAGCTGCAGGTGAGATTGAAGATTTGTCTTATTTTTCAGTTTCACAAACCCTGATACAAGAGCCTAAATATGTTTTGTTCCAAAACACTGCTGTCTTCTTTCTCACACTCCCCTCTGCAGTTCAATGCATGCACAGATACACACTACCAAATTGTTTTTTCTTTTATGACACGGTATTGCTGCAGGGTCATTTACATATAGGTGAGTGCATGCACAGATACACACTACCAAATTGGGGGGTTTTTTTTATGACACAGTATTGCTGCAGGGTCATTTACATATAGGTGAAAATGCAAAATTCCTGCTCTGAAGTGTTAACAATGTTGGCTACTTTTACATCGAAAGTCTGATGGGAATACAAAGAAGTCAGAAAATGTGGATAAGGCTGAAATTACATTCATAAAAGATCATGCAGTGGTTGGGAATCACAGCCCATGCATGGACAACCCTGTATTGAGACTCCTGTAATCCCTGGGCAGAGCAGGGAGGAGGGAAGGAGAGGTCAGTGGGGCTTTGTGGGATTCTGTGGCATTACTGGGGCAAGGGTAGTTAGTCCTTCTCTGTTATTTGAACAGTGAGTGAGTATTTTTTTAAGGATTTTTTTTTATGTTGCTAGAATAAAAAGGAACAGGCAAGAGAAAATGACCCCAAGTCATAAGGGGATTGCTGTCTGTGGAAAAGTGCAAACACAAAATAAAATTGTTTTCCTGCAAAATTCTTTTTTTCATGGCTTGTTTCCATGCCACCACAGAGAAGAATGGTGAAGAAAATTATATACAAGGAAAGGTACTTTTAAAGATTCCCAAGAGCTACTGATTGGGCGTTGCTGTTTCACATTCTCCAAATTGCTGTTACATCAGTCTGGATGGTGGAGATAAACTGTAAGAGAGCTTAAAAGCTATGGAGCAATGCATGGAAGCACAGCGATAGATATATGTGCACTCTTTTTTGATTTATAGGTTTTATTTGCATACCCCTTTGGCATTGCCAGAGCCTCTCTGCAGATCTAACACTTGATCCCCTGTTGCGCTGAGTGCCCTGGGAGCTGTTGACATTGTGGGGTACCTGCTGAGGTGTCAGGGACAGGTTGTGGGGATGGAGAAATGAGAGCCTGAGACCAGAAAGAGAGTGTCTGTGGGGCAGAGCAAAGTGATAACTGGACTAGTTGAGCCTCAGCCAGCTCCTGAAGGTCTGAAAACCACTGGAAGCACTAAAGAAGCAGAGGCTGCAGCTTGTTCCTTTTCCTGATTTTATATGATTGTCTTAAGTCAAGGGTATTTAAATGTCAAGTTTTTATGTAGTTCCTAAATTTACTTTGGTTCGGGTGTTTACAGCAGAAGGTTTGTGTCCTTGTGCACTCCTATCTGTGTACTTGAATGATGATAAATGCCAAGGCTTTCTGTGGGGGCTTGTGTTTTTCCACAGCCGAGGCGACACATTCCCATTAAGTTTAACCTTCTCCCCCAAGAGTTGATACAATTTATTTCTTCTTTTGGAAGGGAAATATCGGAGCTGTAGCAGGCCCAAAGCAATTTTCTTTGAAGGCTGCCTTGGCTGCGACTGCGGATACAGTGACAAAGAGGAGATTGTGGCAGAGCGTGCTGGCTGGGCGCTCGGGCAGGAAAGGGTTACTGTCTGCACAGCTCTGTGTCTGGAGCTCCAGGCAAAACCCAGAGAGAGACAATGATGTCAGCACTACCTCCAGGCCCAGGGCCCCTTGCCTGACAATGTGGGCAATCCAACACATTCCCATCTGCCACAACAAGAGCATTCATGCTCCTATTTCCTGACCTCTTTGGATTAAAGCATGTGGAGTTAAATATACATCCAGCCCCGTGCTCATGCGCTTGCATTGCACCAGAAATAGACTTATGGGAAACTGGCTGCAGCTTTTGCCACCCGACACTCGGGATCTGTCTCAACGTTGTCATCGAGAAAAGCACATGCTGGTCCGGTCGGGAGATTGTACAGTCATGTACACATAGCTAAAATACAGTTCCCTTTTGTGCCTGGAAATGCTGCATGTAATCAGCACGCAGTCAGAAAGAGGTGGGGCGGGGGAAGGGCAGATTAAATACAAAATGAAGATTAGTCAGAGGCAGTGATTTCAGCGTTTCAGCCATCTGAAACTTGCTGAGTTTTTTAGTACCACATAAAAAGTTCTGAGAGCAGCGAGAGACCTTGGCTGAGCTGGGTGTCTGCACTCCAGGCTGGTGGAAGAGGGAGAGCATGCGGCAGGATTTGCACGCTGCCATGCCGGGCTGGCAGCTCTGACAAGGAGAGCTTTTTGTTTGCTTAAGAGTGAAGCCGGTCTGGTAGTGCAAACTTCTAGCAATTAGAAGCATTTTATTGCTTTAATTCAGGATGTATGTGTGTGGGGTCTGTTGCATGCACATGGGTATCGTGTTGTTTCTTTCTCATGTCTGTGGGTGCTGTGTATCTGTGGCTCTATGCCCATATGTATCTGTGCATCTCCATATTTATCTGTCATTCTGCGTCTGCATTGCTCAGTCTTTTTCCTTTTAAGTGTCGGAGTTGCATTTATTTTCTGTGCACAGATGAGTTATCCTGTACTGTACACTAAGGGGGAAAGAAATGTAGGGATAGCTTGCATTTTGTTTATGTCTTTGTCAAGAAGATGCTTCACAATTGAGAAGTATGAATTAAAAAGAAAATGAGACTATTTATTTTCCTTTCTTTCTCTTTTGTCTACAGTCTACATTCTCATGTCTTATCTTCCCAGTCATGTATTTTCTTTTCTCTCCCTTTTCCCCCATCACACTGCAAACTCCTGTTCCCATAACAAATGTTTTAAATGTTATCTATCCTGCCTGTACAATCAGTCCCTTTTTTCATAGCATGTTTCTTGTACAGTAATCTTTTTTTTTTTTTTAAACAACTCATAGTAATCCTTAACACAGCAAATTCCTGTACACAGTTTGGTTTGGTATCTTTCCCTTTCATATGTCCTCTGCTTATGGCACTCAGAATCTCACAGCGCACAACACAGGGAAGCAGAACAAAAATAAACTCTCCAAAATCTGTAGTTCCCCAATGGCTCAAAGAGGTCTTGGAA